GTGTAGGAGGCAGGTTATGATAAACTGTAAGTATTTCCATAATACCCTTAGGTCGGATACCTGCCAGTTGGATGGATAGCCAGAGAGAGAGACAGATGGGTTCCTGATGGTAAACGTGACTGGATTACAGGTCGTGGAGGTGCAGCCCTGAGGGGGGCAAAGATTGACTAGAGGGCTGCTAAGGTACCTTGAATGGTCAAACTGCAGCGCGACCGATGAGGAGCGCCTGTCCCAAGCAGTCTTATTGATAACATCTTTAGTATGTTGTACCTGGAATTCCCATTCCATAACTGTCAAGGCAGAGTCCATTCCAAAGACCATGAGAAGGAGGAGGAGGCCAGGCATGGCTAAACAGGGGGGGGAGAGGCAGAGCGGGGTACCAGTCCAGACATTTTAGACTTACTGCGATTCCCATGAGTAAGAGGTATAACACTGCTAGCAAAAGCCTTTTCCAGAACACCCATTCCTGTGGGGCCACTGCAGCTAGTCCAACAGAGAGAATTAGGGCTAGTGTTATGGAGAGGACCTGAACAGATAATTATAGGTGTTGACCTGGTCTGGAGAAATGAGTGGGGGAGGGAAATTAAGTCTGGGGAGGGGACAAGTGGCCTGGCAGAGGAGGCCAAGGAAGGGGGAGGAGTTAAATTGAAGGGCAACATGTAACTTTTTAAGGATGTCACAGCTTAGGAGGTGTTTGGGGCATGTGGGAATGACAAGAAAAGAGTGGGTAAAGTACGTTTTCCCGAGGCAGCAGGCTAAGGGTTTGGTAGAGAGAGGATATGAGGGCTGGCCATCAATACCCACAATAAAGACCTGGGAGGGTAATAAGGGTCAAGATATGTTAGGAGAATGGAGTAGGTAGCCCCCATGTCCATCTGAAAGGTGAACGACTTACCTGCTACCTGTAACTGGACCCCGGGCTTGGCAAAGGTAATTGGGGTGATCAAATCAGGGGCCTGTCAATCCTCAGCCAGTCCCATCATGGCCAGGTCGAAATCAGGGTGGTGGATCTCCTTTCAGTGTGGAGGCATTGGCAGTGGATCTCATCTCCCTCTTTTGGGGCAGTCAGAGCCCCAGTGACCCATTTTGCCATACCCTGGGCAGGGTTTAGTGGGCAGCCTGGGATCCAGGCATTCACGGGACCAGTGGCCTGGCTTACCACATTTGAAGCAGTTTCCTGGGGGAAGACTGCGTCTAGGGACCCCCTTCTGAAGTGTTGGCCTCAGGGCAGCCACCAGGTCTTGGGCTTGGGCTTGCATGGCAGCCATCTGATTGGCCTGTTTGTGACGAGCTACCTCAGAGTCCTCCTCTCGGGAATTGAAAACTTTAATTGCCAATATTCACCAGGTTTTGTATGGGGGTCTGAGGGCTTTGTTTAGCCTTTTTGAGTTTTTTTTCCCCTGTTATCAGTGGCTGAGTGGGTGATAAAATGGGTTGCCAGAACTACTGCCCCAACAGGATTTTCCAGGAAGAGTAGGGGATGAAGTTGTATAGCCTCAGTGAGGCAACTCAAAACCATGGCTGGATTTTTTTGACCCTGGGTGACTTTTCGCAATTTGTCATAATTTACTGCCTTCTGGGCTGCTTGTTCTATCCCTGTCTTAAGGCATTGTAATATGTAGTCATGTCACCAGTGGCCAGGGTCACCTTCCTGGTATCTCCAGCCAGGATCAACTGCAGGGATTACCTCAGTACATACCGCCACGGTGGTGTCTGCCATGTGGGCCCTGTCAGTGTACTCTCTTCCTGCCGCTCGTACCTGGTCATGCTCATCCGCTGCCATGGTGGATGTCATAATTACGTGGATGTCATGCCAGGTGAGGTTATAGGCCTGTGTGAGATATCTGAATTCCTTGATAAATTGGGTGGGATTGGCAGAGAAGGAGCCCAAGTGCTTTTCAATGGTGGACAGATCCACAAGGGAAAAAGGAACATGGATTCGAACAACTCCCTCAGCTCCAGCCACTTCCCGTAAAGGAGCTATGACCTGGAGTAGGGGTGGGTCATTTGAGCATGTACGACCAGCAATAGGGGAGGACAGAGGGACTGTTGGCCGAGGGGGATGGAAAGGATTTTCAGGGTAGGGAGGTGAGGGGACAGAGGGTTCGGGAAAGTTTAATGGGGAGTCAGGAGGGGGTCTCAGCGGAGAGGAGAAAGATTCCAGGGGAACAGTGAGAGAGAGGATTCAGGGGGTTTAGAAGTTTCCTTGAAAAGGCTGGGAGTAGGTTTTCGGCCCTCACCTGCCTGAGCAAGCAATATCTGGGAGGGAGAGCAGGTAGTACAGAGATGGGGACGAGAGTGCAGATACCAAAAAGGAAAGTATCGACTAGGTGTCCCTGAGACAAGACGATCCTTAGGGTACCCCTAGGGCACCCGGAATGGATGGGGAGTGTTCCTGGCATGGCCGTGACTACAGACAGAAACACTCTGGAGGTCCAAAAACGAGACTGAGGTCACTTACCTTCTCAACCTGATGACTGTGTGAGAGGTCCGATGGAGGGGCTCTAACTAAAAGGCATCCAGCCCCTCCCGGGTTTCAGCACCAGATGTTAGGTTTGATTTGGGAGTGGTGGTGAAGTTGGAGGCGGCAAAGGTGAAAATACCAGAGTCAGACTTTGGGGTTTAATAAAACCAACATAATTTATTCTGTGCTCTCAGGTGAGGTCCCTCAGCCTCAACCAGGGTGGATGCTGCTTGCTCTTAAAGGGCCATTGTCCAATAGGTGCTTGCCATGAGTCCTTGTCTGGTCAATGAAGTTCGCTGTTTCTGTTAAACTTTGGTGGGCACACCAAATGCTGAAGGGCAGGAAAGTCCATTGGTGATGGCGGGCCAGGTGTGGACAACAGGAAAGTTCCTGCTGGCGGAAATGTTTCCGCCATGTTTCTTTTCCCTTCTTCCAGACCTTACACCTTCCTTTTCCAATCATCACCCTAAAAGCTATAAAATCCACTTATGACCTATAAGCCCCCTCTCCCTCATCCCCCCCC